ACATAAAGGTAGAAATTAAGTTACAAATTAAATAAATTACAAGCTTTTAAAAAAAGGTATCTCATAATAGCCCACACAACACATGGACGTCCTTTGAACGTCCGCTGTATATCCTTAAATATTCTGATTATATCCTAATGTCCTGAACGTTCATAGAACGTCCGAAAGGACGTCTGAAACGCTTTTAGCATAACTGCAGTAGGACTTCTATAAAACATATGAAAGATATATTCGGGACTGAATCACAAAATTTAATATTTTGTATGTTTAATATATTTCTGATATACATCATAAACAGACATTTGAAATTCGAGTTTTGATAGGTTTTTTATATTAAATAAGACATTTTAAAGATGTTCTAAGGACATTTATTAAATGTCTAAAAGACATCTATTGTATGTCCCGAGAATGTCCGTAATATATGTTCATATAAGCATTGAATATTATTATCATAATCATTAATATCATTGTTGTTGTTGTTGTTATTATTATTATTATTACTATTGTCATTATCGTCAATATAGTGATATAATGGATATAAAATCATAATTACAGTACAAAATATATATATAAGATTAATTCAAGTAATTAATTAATTTTATTTTTATAATAATTACATAATTACGGTTATTATATTATATATTAAATATAAATATAATATTAATAAACGAAATATTAGTAATTATATATAACAATAGAGAACGTCTTTTAAATGTATGTTAGCCTTCTCCAAAAACAATATGAAGGATATATATAGAAATGTATATTTTACTAATTATATTTTAGTCTCTTAAAAAATTTTAATCTCTTAAAAATTGAAGACTTATACGGTAAAATTGATATCTCTTAAATCGAGTTTAGATATCAATTTTATCGTATAAATCTTTAATTTTTAAAACCATTTTTTCATTTTCAATACAATTTTACAATCAATGGAATTGATGTCGATTAGATATCTATTCCATTATCATTTCTTTTTAGGATATGTCCAAATAACATAAAAAGTCCATTTTACATCCTATTGAGATGTCCTAACAACGTCCATTGAACGCCTAAGGCGGTACATTGTACGTCCAAAAAATATCCGCCGGATGCCACCAGGACATCTTTGGTACGTCACCTGGACATCGAAACATTCGAATAAGACGTCCTATAGATGTCCAAAAGATGTTATGCGGGAGACGACTTTACTCTATGCTTAAAATATAAAAGACGCATGCGTATTACCGAAAACTGTAATTAGAACAATTAGGTAAATGAGATTACGCGAAATTACAATAGCACGGTGATTTCAATTTTGTTAAATATAGAACTATATGCATAATTCATATGATTTAAAATATTGTTTAAAATTCCTAATTCGCTAAAATTCATATAAAATTTAATTAAATAGACTATGTTTCGAGCTCGCAAACGTTATTACCACCAATGAAGCGGTTTCTTTTCTTAAAATCAAAGCGTGCGAATCGCTACAAATTGCACATAATTTGACGCTAATTTGACAAAATGCTTAAATGGTAGGAGAAAACAAAATATTAGATATTTGCTACATGCAATGTATGTACAACTGTCGCTCTTCAATTTTACGGATTCTTGTTAATAACGGAGAAGTAAGTACTCTACCTTTCAGTTTAACTCTTAGTTTAACGACTTAGTGAATTCATGAATCGAAGTTGTCTCGATCATGTGCGTATAAGTAAGCCGCAAACTTCTAAACTAACAGGAAGTAGAATTTTTCACAATTTATGCAAACATATATTATCTCTACATCCTTGAGTTATCTAATCACAATTCAAAAAACGTGGAAAAAACCACGTGTGTTTATCGTTTCAACATGTTTTCTTAATGCTGTATATTTAATATGCTTTGCTA